CCAGCCTCTCTGGAAGAGACAGACGTGGCTGCGCTGGGATGGGAGCAAGAGGGAGCACAAAGCAGGCAGACGCCTCCCCCTCCGCCCTTCCTTGGTCCCCCTGATCCCAAGGTTGGCAGAGGAGGCTCCTCCTGAGCTCCAGGGAAGGGCTGGGGGCTGCGTGTTGTGCTGTGCCACCCACCCTGGGCCCCCACGGCCACCAGCCCCGCTCTGGCCCCAGTTGCTGGGGAGCCACGAGAAGCAGCGAGGCGGGGAGAGGGTCTGGAAGGCATCAGGATGTGTGGTGTACTCGTTTTTTCCATTGTGTTCACTGCTGGATACATGTCACCCGGCGGGCTTGGCAGCAGGGGCTGAACTGGCAAGCTGGGCCTGCTCAAAGGCAGCAACCTGGGCAGCAGCTGCTCCAGCACCCCCATCCCCCAGCAGGTTCTCACCATTCAGACGAGGGAGCAGGATGTTGGAAGCATAGATGTTCATTATGGACTGCAGCATTCGGACCTGGGGAGTGGAGCGATGGGAAGGAGAAGAGTTTTAATCTGCTGGAGAGTAGGTGACCAGGTGCTGGGGGATAATTAGAACAGAGGTAAGGAGCAGGGATGGGCACACGCTTCCCCAGAGACCAGCAGCTTTGTCTGGCCACGCTGGTGGGGTGGGAAGCGTAGGGGAGGGAGAGGCAATGGCAGCTGGCTGTGTGTCTTCTCCCAGTCTCATATGCTGAGGCAGGAGATGCCCACAGGGTCAGCATGGGGTCTTGGGTGTACCCCAGGTGCCATGTTGGGGAGAAAGATGAAATGAGTCTCTCCTTGGCCTCAAGCAGGCTCTTGCCTCCATGCTGGGGGGTTATGGTCCAGCCTTACCTGGAAAGTGCCAACATCTGAATGCTTCAGAGAGAGCTTCATCCTGAACAGAGACAGGTGATGCTGGGGGGGCTGTGCTGATGCAGGGAGTGGTTCCCTCCTTGGTGCCACTTCCAAGGCCACACCATTCCTCCAGCTCATCCCCTCTGCACCAGGTCCCTATCCCTGGGATCCTCCTGCTCACCTCCGCCCCATCCAGCCCTCCCTCCTTACCTGCCCACCGTCAGGTTCCCAGTGATGTGGCTGGATGTCATGTTGATGACAGCAGACACGTTGCCTGTCTGGGGACAGAGAGCAGAGCTCCAGTGCTCCCCCACCTCCCCCTGAGCCAGACCCCAGGGGAACAGCTCCGACTGCCCAAATGCAGTGTCCTGCTGCCTGGCCAGGGCAGGGTGAACCTGCCATTTGTCAGCTGGGGGGTTTTCCTGCTGGGGACATCCCCAGTGCAGCAGGACCAGGCTGGTTTCAGATGGTGCCCAGCACTTCTGGCAGGGGCAGGGCAGCAGTGGCTCAGGCAGCAGGGGGAGGTGCCCACCTCAGTGCATCCCCGCCCCATGGAGACACAGGGAGTGCTCAGCGGTGGCCGGTGCCACCACGGCAGGTTGTGCCCAAACTCACCAGGCTGAGGAGGAAGAGAGGAGCCAGGCGGGTGTCGGGAAGGATGGCATAAGCCTGGATATCCACGACAGGCGTGAGCGAGAGGCCCCCCGGCCCGATGCTGAGGAACGGGGCGGAGGGCGCGGACAGCCGGAGCTTCATGGAGGCGTTGGGGTACATCTCCTCTAGCTGCAGAGGGGCAGGAGAGGGTAGGGGCAGCAGCACAAGCTACTGCTCCTGGGGAAGACCACCTTGCTCAGAGCAAACCTGGGCTGTGTACAGGAGCTACAGGGAGGCAGGGCTGGACCACTCACCTGGGGAATGAAGGCTGAGAAGGTGGAGGTGGTCAAGTGGAACTCAACATCCTTTGGGATCTGTGGGGAGAGAATAGTCACACTGGGGCTGTTATGGCACAGCTGAGCCCATGGTGAGCTCAGGCCTCCAGCCCCCAGGCAGCCCCATCCCATAGCCCCCAGGAAGCTCATTGAGGAGCTGGGGAGCCCCCTGAGACCACTGGCTGTCACCAGAACCTCTCTGGAAATAGAAGCCACTGCCAGAGGCAGGGGACAGCCCTGTCCCTCCTGTGCTGCTCACCACTGAGTCCGTGATCTCGAAGACCAGCAGCCCATCTGCGTAGTAGACGAAGCCAGCAGTGTTGAAGAAGTAGCTGGAGGCCCCAAAGTAAACCATGCGGTCATGGTCTGGGGGCAGGGCCAGGGGCAGCGGAGAGAAGGGGACAGCAGAGCGGTGGGCCAGGGAGAAGAATTCACCCTGGAAGGAGGGGAAGAGATGAAGCAGAGCAGAGGTGGTGGGACTCACCTGCTGAGCTGTGCTGGCAAAGACCCTTTGTACCACCCAGCAATAGCATCAGCCAACTCATACTTTCCCAGGGCAACCTCTCACCTTCAACTCCACGTCCAGGGACTGGGCAGTAGCAGTTGGGGGTGCCACCAGGGCATAATCAATCCCAACCTTGTCATCTATCTTGGATGTGACTGTAAAACATGGGACAGACAGATGAGTGAGAGGGGGATGGCACAGGGAAGGCAGGAGCAGATTGCCTGGGCTGACATCCAGGCAGTGCCATGCCCGGGCTTCCCAGTGGAACAGCTCAGTACCAGCTTTACGTGTTTTTGCTTCTGTTCCAAAGCCAAATCACATTTCCCACTTCCCTCCCGAGTGTTTCTCAGTCATGCAGACTGACTCCTGGACCCCAGGGACAGGCTGGGTCCCCTGCCTAGGGCAGCCCGTGCTACCAGCAGCTCGTTGGGGGCTACATGTGATGCACAGTCTGTGCTGCCCTTTTCCCCAGCCAAACATGGGGTGACAAGTCCCCACTGATACAGTGTTCCCCACCTCCCAGCCTGGGTGCAGAAATACAAGGCAATGGGGAGTGGTCACAAGGTTAAGACACTGTCCTCATGGCTGGAAAATGCAAGGAAGAAATGCCCTGAAGTCCCGTGCAGCCCCTGCCTGGTACCTGGCAGGGTCCAGAGGTAAGGCTGGAGCTCGCGGCGCACTGACCTTTCCACAGCATCACACACCTGGGGGGAGAAAGGCAGCAGAGCTGAGACATCCCCCGGGTGCCATCTCACACAGGGAGAAGGAGACAGAACCGTGTGTTGTGCAAAGGGGGCCTGGACCCCCTGTGGAAGGAGCAGGGACACCCCTGGGTCCCAGAGCTGCCCTCCTTCCAGGAAGGAACACAGCAGAAAAAGCCTTAGAGTCCTGGCTTTGGTCCTACTGCCAGCCCATGTGCTGCCAGGGCTCCCCCGGGCCTTGGGAAAGCCACCACACACCAGGAATAGTGCCCAGGCAGGGTGGGCTGTGCTGCAGGAGAGAGTTTTGCCTGTTCTCCAACTGCCTCCTTCCTGAGCAAGGTTCACATCCAGGGAGGCTGTAATTCATGCCAGTTAGCCTTGTACTAATTAGTGCTAACAGCTTGTTTCCATGTCTTGTTGCAGGTCTCCTGCACGGAGGCTTTTGTACCGGGCAGCCGGTCCCGGGGCCCCTCGGTGTACCCTGTAACACTGCACAGTGAGTCCCTGAAACCCAGAAAGGAGAATTTCTCCCCCGGTGCTCCCCACAGCAGAGAGGAGCACAGCCCTGCAGAGGACAGCTCTGATCAGCCTTCCTCTGTTACAGGGAGTTTGGCCGAGGCATAAGAACTAATTAACTGACCACATGGAAGGAAAAGTCTTTGTTAATTAGGAACCAATTACACTGAGCTTTGGCAAAGGCTGCGGGTTTCGATTCAGCCTGAGCCACACGAGGCTTTGGAGCCAGCAGTTAGTGGTGTCTGTTGCTCTGGTTCTCACCAGATCAGCACCACGCCCATGTGCTCTGGCTCTGGTTAAATCCTTCGTGTGCTCCAATCCTCTCGGCCCAGCAGCTGCAAGGGGGTTAAAGACCCTCAGCAACACCCGGGCTCTGCTCCCCTTTGCACACCTACCTTGCCCTCCAAGATCTTTTGGAATCTGGACCCAACAGCACTATAGAAGAGGTTGTAAAGCCATCTGCAGGGAACAGAGAGGAGTCCTTCGTTAGCTCGGAGGCTGCTGCAAAGTACTTGCCAGGAACAGGAGACACTGGAGACTGTGGATTACTGGGAAGCAGCATTCCTGGAGAGAGTTTTGCCTGTTCTCCAACTGCCTCCTTCCTGAGCAAGGTTCACATCCAGGGAGGCTGTAATTCATGCCAGTTAGCCTTGTACTAATTAGTGCTAACAGCTTGTTTCCATGTCTTGTTGCAGGTCTCCTGCACGGAGGCTTTTGTACCGGGCAGCCGGTCCCGGGGCCCCTCGGTGTACCCTGTAACACTGCACAGTGAGTCCCTGAAACCCAGAAAGGAGAATTTCTCCCCCGGTGCTCCCCACAGCAGAGAGGAGCACAGCCCTGCAGAGGACAGCTCTGATCAGCCTTCCTCTGTTACAGGGAGTTTGGCCGAGGCATAAGAACTAATTAACTGACCACATGGAAGGAAAAGTCTTTGTTAATTAGGAACCAATTACACTGAGCTTTGGCAAAGGCTGCGGGTTTCGATTCAGCCTGAGCCACACGAGGCTTTGGAGCCAGCAGTTAGTGGTGTCTGTTGCTCTGCTTCTCACCAGATCAGCACCACGCCCATGTGCTCTGGCTCTGGTTAAATCCTTCGTGTGCTCCAATCCTCTCGGCCCAGCAGCTGCAAGGGGGTTAAAGACCCTCAGCAACACCCGGGCTCTGCTCCCCTTTGCACACCTACCTTGCCCTCCAAGATCTTTTGGAATCTGGACCCAACAGCACTATAGAAGAGGTTGTAAAGCCATCTGCAGGGAACAGAGAGGAGTCCTTCGTTAGCTCGGAGGCTGCTGCAAAGTACTTGCCAGGAACAGGAGACACTGGAGACTGTGGATAAAAAATTCCTGCACCAGTTTGGTGCCGGGCTTTGTATCAGGGCACACATTTGCAAACAGACCTGCCTGTAAACTACATGCATGCAGCTTTAGTGCCTGTCTCACATCTCCCTAAATGTACAGGACAAGTTGAGACCAGATTTAAGTTTGTTCAGTAGCACATCTGGATGAGAAGCATGTGCCAAGAGTCCCAAAACAGCTGATGAGAGGACAGCCTATGAGCACAATGGGCAGCCTCCAAGAGGCTGCAGCTACACCAACATCTTTGTCCTTGCACCTTTCCCGTGACAGAGAGGCCAACACACAGTGTTTCCAGGCCCACACAGTGAAGTCACGTACCCAAGCTTGCCGGAAAAGTGTGCCCAGACTTTGGAGACGCGGGTGCTGCAGTCAGAGGTGTAAATTGTGGGCTTCCCAGAGGCATCCCTGCCCAAACTCACGTTGATTTTGATATAGATGTTCTCCACCCTCAGGTCAAATGATCCATGGTCACGGCTGCAGGGAGAGGAGGATGGGAAAGAGACATTTCTCACTGGTGAGTCCTCATGAAAGGACCCCAAATCACCTCTGGGATGGATCTATCTAGCTCAGGCTGTCCCTAGTGATGAGCATCCAGAGGATACCCTCAGCACATCCAGAGAGAGGAAAGCAACATTGCCCCAGGCACAAGGGAGAGGAGAAAAAACCCTGTTCAGAGCCAGAGAGGGGGAACTGGGCACGCACATGAAGTGAAACTTCACCCGCCAGTTCCCATTGACGCTGGCGAAGGCGTTGGAGATGGAGACCTGCAAGCCCACGTTGGGGACCAGGGAAATCCGCGAGTACGGCAAGTGGAAACTGTGAAGGTCCAATCTAAAAATAAATACATAACAAATAAAAAAAGTCACATTACAGGAGTGCCTCACCCCTGGGCACATGGCTGGGGAGGGAGGGACTAAGGCCACCATCCTGGCAGCATCCCCAGCTCCTGTCCTGCTGTGACAAGGTGGTGTCTGGCTGGGATGCATGGAGCAAAGCAGTGCCTTGGAATCGTGGTCCCTGCAGCCACCCAGACAGCAGCTCCACACCCAGTGCAGAGGTGCCATGGGGCAGCAAGGAGCTAGGATCTCCATGATGGGGACAGGTGCCCTGCTCCTGTAGGCAAGGCCACCTCCACTGTGCAAAATCCACCTGCACCCAGAGTGCCCTCACCCTGCCTCCCTTTCCCTCCTTTCGCCCAAAGCAGGAACATCTTTGCCTGCACTTTGGACAGGGCCAACATCTCAGGGAGGTGTGGAGGGGACAGGATGGTCCTTACTGCTGCCGGGGCTCCCTGTCCCCCTCCACAGGTCAGGGGAGCAAGAGGCTCCGCAGCACTGGCAGGGCTCACCTGGAGAGCTCATAGTTCACCTTCCCCAGTCGCCGAAGGCGCAAATCACCCGAGATGTCTGGCAGCTTTAGCTGGATCAGCTCCTTCTCCAGAATTGTGATCCCCTGCTGATGGGCTGCAAGGACAGAGGGAGAGCATCAGGGCCATGGGCTTCCCATGGGAGTGAGGAGCATGTGAAAGGGTTAAAGGAAACCTCTGGTGATGGCCTGGCTGCTTTCCACCACCCAGGCTATCTCTAAAGCTAATCTGGGTGCACAGAGCCCTGTGAGCATACGCAAACATGTGAGTCTGCCAGCGTGCAAGCCCCAGGAGACAGAGGTGGCCAAGCACTGAAGGAGGGACAGGTCCTGGACACTGTGTGGGAGGTCCTGGGCACACTGTGCTCCATCCCCAGGACCAGCAGACAGAGCTGGATGGAGCAGCGTGGCACAAGTGGGTGCTGCACCCCTGCATCCCTCTGGGAAGAGGAGTCACGTCCTCCTCTCCTGTGGCTGGCAGAGCTGCTGGGTAAATGAGCTGCTCTCACAGTGCATTTCCATCCCTAACAGCACAACCAGGCTCTGCCTGCTACCATAAAACCAGTGCAGGGCTCATCCATGTCCATCACTGCTATCTGCATCACTCCAGCTCCTGGCAGCTCCCACCTCCTCTCCTCTGCAGCTCCCTCCTCCTGCGTTCACAGCTCAGCTGCCTGGATACCTGTCATGGGATCAGGACCCTCCCGCTGGGCAGGTCCCCCAGCACTGCTTGGGTGCAGAGCTGGATGAGCAGCGTGGCACAAGTGGGTGCTGCACCCCTGCATCCCTCTGGGGAGAGGAGTCACGTCCTCCTCTCCTGTGGCTTGCAGAGCTGCTGGGTAAATGAGCTGCTCTCACAGTGCATTTCCATCCCTAACAGCACAACCAGGCTCTGCCTGCTACCATAAAACCAGTGCAGGGCTCATCCATGTCCATCACTGCTATCTGCATCACTCCAGCTCCTGGCAGCTCCCACCTCCTCTCCTCTGCAGCTCCCTCCTCCTGCGTTCACAGCTCAGCTGCCTGGATACCTGTCATGGGATCAGGACTGCTCTCACAGTGCATTTCCATCCCTAACAGCACAACCAGGCTCTGCCTGCTACCATAAAACCAGTGCAGGGCTCATCCATGTCCATCACTGCTATCTGCATCACTCCAGCTCCTGGCAGCTCCCACCTCCTCTCCTCTGCAGCTCCCTCCTCCTGCGTTCACAGCTCAGCTGCCTGGATACCTGTCATGGGATCAGGACCCTCCCGCTGGGCAGGTCCCCCAGCACTGCTTGGGTGCACCCCATGGGACCCCCATGGGGCCAGGCATCCCTGCCGCTCTGCAGGGGCTCCGGGGAGGTGGGGAGCAGACAGGTGCATCAGTGGGAAGCCCCAGGCCATGGGGCTCTCAGCACCCACAGCTGAGGCTCCCCTCCTCCTGCCCCAGGACCCTGTGCTCCCTGAGCAAGCACCCAACTCCACACCCCGGCCACCACCACCCCTGCAGGGGGGGAAATCCGAACCCACCGTAGTCCAGGCCAGCCTGGGTGATCCTCACCACGAAGCCAGGGTTGGCGGCCGCGCTGAGGACCAGGCACAGCGCCAGGGCCCCGCAGGTCCCT